AAATCCATCCAGAAGATTTTCTAGGTTTGCAGGTTTCTGAAAAGAGAATTGTTTATATTATCTGTAGCAACAAACTCCACAGATAACTGTTGTTCTGCTGTAGACTTCTGAAAGTCCCAAGGTATATGTAATTAAAATAAAGAAGGAATAAAGTTTTGGTTATCTAGGAGAGGTACTAGGGTGTTGAGTAAAACTTTTCTAGCCCTTTAAAACTGCTGAGCTCACATAGGTGGTAGATCAGCAACCTGAGAGAGAATAGATCTCAAGAACAAGATAAAAAAGCAATAGCAGTGCAAGCTTGCTGAAGAGATAGAGAGTCATCATTTTAGAACAATAACATTTAGCTGGTCTCTATACCTGTTTAGCATTCAGGCTCTCTGCTGGAACTGGCAGTAGTCATTACGCGGTCCATTGGGAAAAGACTAAGCCCACTATTCCCTTTTGGATGTACGACCAAATAGCAGTTATGGGGTATCTGCCATGGCATCAGATTAGATTCAGTAACCCAGAAATGAAAGAGTCCCTGTCTCTTAATATATTGCTCAATATTTCTTTAAAATTAACATATAAAATGCGCATTATGATATGACATGTATTTCTAGCATTACTAGTACATGTGATCCTCCTCAGTTGCATACTAAAAACATGGCCTATAAGTGACTGTGCATGTATGTGTATTTCCACACATATATACATTAATATATATTTCAGTTAACATGGAGACAGAACTGCAAGCTGGATTGCGGTTATCATCGGTTTGCAGAACTTAGAGTGGATAGAGTCAGTTTGCAAAATTCTACTCACTCATTGAAGTACACAAAGTACTTTTTTGTTTGTTTTTGAGTGATAGACGTGTATGGTATTAATCATGCTAACTGTCTGGGACAGTAGTTTTTGTGTAGGGGCTGGTAAATTTTCATTAACAATTTGGCAAGGCTGGAACATATTCACAAGGAGTTTTATCATCTGTGACAAATATCTGGATAATATTTTTCATTTTAGAAGTAATCCAAGTATGATTCAAGTCAAAGCTACCAGCATAAGATAAGCATTGTCTACATGTTATTTAACTGTCTCAAAATGCCATGAAGTCAAGAAGACAACAAAACAGAAACTGTCGCGCTCCAGCATTTGGTTGCGTGCACTGTACTGACCACAGCAGCAGAAGGTGGCCTTTCACGTGCTTTTTAAACTGACATACATCACTGCATTTATGGCATTTCATGATTCTTCTTTGCCTTTCACATTAATGAGTGGTAGGCCACACAGTACCACATGTGCTCTGCTCACTACAAGATGCCATATTCCCTTCTCCTCAGATGTACTGAGCATTACAGTTTACTGCAACTGTGAAATTTGGAGAAACATGAAAAACAGGGCCAATAATTTATATTTTACTCCCTTGTGGCTTCCACCCAAGACATCTTTCTCAGGTAATGTTACACAAGCAGAGAACCCAAACAGAGAAGGAATGTAGGTAAGCATGAAGCAAACTTTGTCTCTGAGCTGTGGGGAAAGTAGGAATTGAACCAATGATCTTGCTCCTTGTATGAGGATATATGAGCAGGGCAGCTATATCCTTACAAGAGTGTCTTTCTTCCCTGCCAGCCTGTCTGAAGCAACTCCCAATGTAAATCCCATACAATTCTTGGTCATTGTGTCAAGAGTGAAAAAGACTATTAGTTGTCCTTAGCTGCCACTACGTGCTGAGGTGGAAAGCACTCATGAATGGTCCTTAGCAGTATGGTCTAGAGCTCCAAGTGAAGAACCTTTACTTCTGACAACCGATAAAGGGCTATGTGGCTCTTTCTCCTTGTCCAAGAGGTTGGGAGGGGTAGCGGAAGACAATCCCATCCCTAACTTGGGGTAATCCTTATAAATTCAGCAAGCTGGAGCTCGCTGATCTGCCTTTCTCTTACATGCGTTACACACATGTAGAGAAGAAAGGAGCCAACAACTTTGTGGCTGGGGACTGGTGTTTAAAGTGGTCTGAAAAATGTGGAGAGGTCTCTCATCATCCTGTCTCCTGCCTAGCAGTTAATTCTGCCCCTGCCCCTACTTAACTCCCCAATTAAACCTTTGGCCCTAGTCCCAACATCAACTCTGCCCCAGTTCTTTTTAAGACTCTTGAAACTGTAAAAAGAAGCAAGTAAGTAGAGAGCTAGACAAGAGCTATGAGCTCCTGCAACCTTCTGGTGAGTAATGCCGTGGGAGGAATGACATTTTACAAAAGTTCTCAAGTACATCTGTGTCCTGATGTATTTTAAGCCTTCCTTGTGGAGAAAAACTCAGAAATGAGGCAGAAGGTGTACTTTGGACCAGGAATTATCCTGGATTGGGAGCAAACCACAACAGAGTTTGATTTTATGATAGCACAGGCACCTCATGACTTATTCTTGATGAACAGAAGTTGAGTTAATTGCAGTGCTGAGAGCATAGTGTGCCAAGACACTGCTTCAAGGCTGTCAGTTCAATGCAGTTTTACTCATTCATTAGATCAGGCACTAAAGAACTGGGTTTGATTTAGGATCAAGACCACCTACTTGTTTGTACCATGCATGCTTCAATGGAATCTTACTCTGGTTTGAGCCTCAATGAGTAACACAAGAGTCAGTATCACAATCATGTTGATACGGAACACATTGGAAGATGTTTATTCTTTACCCTTGGCTAATGACCCATGGTTCTTAATCGTATTCCAAGTCATCATCTTTGCTCTGGAAATGTAAGGACAAACCTTGCCTACACATTATTTCTGTGTCTTTTGCCCACCTCCTTTAAATGTCTCTTGCACTCCTTTCCTCAGAGAGATTTTAATCTGCCAGCAAAAGGTAACAGAATGTCATTGCTGTGTTGCAGCCAGTTGAAATCGCCAGAACAGTTCTTCAATAGATGCATCAAAAAGAGACAAACATGGGGTAGTTGGGTTGGCCCTCACTAGTAGCTTCTCAGTCACTCACTTCACATGCGCCCCCCGCCCTGGACAAGGGGAGAAAAGAGGAAAAACAGGAAAGAGAAAGTCTGAGGGTCAAGATAAAGACAGGGAGATTACTTACCAATTACTGTCACAGGCAAAACAGACTCAAATTGGGGAAATTAATTTATTGCCAATCAGAATAAATCATTACCAAACTGCGTAGTGGGAAATAAAACCAAGAAAAGTAAGAAACTAACATTTACACACTTTTCCTCCACCTTTCCCAGGTTCAGGTTCACTCCAAGCACCTCTCCTCCCCTCCTTGTTATCATCACAGGTTACACTCAGTTCCTTCAGTCAGGCAATGGGCAGCCCCTTTTTCCTTCACACTCTTTTCTTCTGCTGCAGTCCTAGTCCTCCATGGGCTGCAGGGAATATTTGCTCCACTATAGAGCACCTCCACCTCCTCCTCCTCTGGTCTTGGTGTTCCCTCTGTTGTTTTTCATTCTTTTTATTCCTTCCTCCTCTCTCTGGCTTTCTTTGCTCTTTCTTATATATGTTTCCCTGAGGTGCCACCATCTTGGCTGATGGACTCAGCTGTGTCCTGTGATGGGTCGGTTGGAGCCAGCTGGAACTGGCTGTGTCTGGCACAAGGCAGCCCCACAGCCCCCTCTCCTCACAGAGGCCACCCCTACAGCCCCACACTGCCAGCACCAATATACAAGGTGTGACCTCCTCTCTAACGAAGTGGAGAGAAGCTGTCCCATCAAGAGCAGTGGTGGTCTTTTGTAGATACCTCACCCAGCCAGCAGAGTGATCAGATCACTGCAGAGAGCTCGGCTGAGGAGAACCACCAGAAGGTGGTGATGTAAGAAGAGGAAACCACTCAAAGGCAGTGGGAACACTTGAGCTATTGGAAGGGACTGGGCAGGGTGGGAAAATTTTCAGTGGTGTTGGAGGGCGTGCTGCAACTGAAGCTGCTGGCAGAGACCTCTCAAACTGCTCACCACCTCTACTTTCTCATTATGTTAGCCCCTACCACAGCCTGATGCCTGGCAAGAATGCAGGTCTCGGGTTTTGAGTAACAGGGTGGGCCAGGGACTGCTGGGCTGGGCTGCAGCAAGGACTGCCACTACCTTTTAGGCTCTCTTTGAGCACTGAGCCCAGCTGGAGGTTTCTCAGCTACTGAGCAGGACCAAAGCCCTTGTGCAGGGACTTCCCATGCTGATATAGCTGTGTGTGGAGGACTGTAGTACAAAAAAGTCATAAATGTATGAAATACAGTAACACCTGCAGAGGCGCATAAGGTCCAAGGTAACTGGATGACTTTACAACTAGAGGAGGTGATAAAAGGGCAGAAAAAGAACATTAGGGAAGACCAAGGAATGCTGCAGTTTTCTCTGAAGCCACATACCAAAAATGCTGCCACAGGCAGAGTGTGTTCAGGCATTGGGAAGTTTAGGAGGACTAGCAGGGGCAGGACACCAACTTGCCTAAAATAGCAGTACTGAAGTACAGAATTAGAAGAGGAAGGAGGAGCAGAGAAGGAAGGGGTGCAAAAGTCCAAGTTCTATTAATTTTTTTTAGTTCATCTAATTTCAGCATAAGCTTAAAAAAACCCCAAAACCTCTGGGGATTTTTCCATCTAGGAATTCAAGCTTTGAAGCAAAATCTGCTTTTCTATCTTTAGCAGATCTTATTGCTGTTCCACTTCTTTCTCCCATTCTAATGTTTAATTGGCTTTGACAGAGATGATCTATTGCTAGTTCTGTGTCAGGCCCTTGCCAGTAACTCCATGGGGTCTGAGCTTCCTCCAGTCATCTCATGCTCCTATTTTAAATATTTTAACTGGAAAGCTTAGATGACCACATTTCAGAGACTACCACTTTGCAACAAAATTCCATCTGGTCAGCATAAGGTCCACTAACTATGGTTGGAGTGAAAAATAATTTTGCCTTCATGTTGAGGCTGTACAGCTTCAATTGAATGTGATTTGGAGTGGTATAACTTGCACTGACAGCAGGAAAACTAGCTTTTAAGAATCCAAATTTCAAAGCACGCTTGTTGGCAGTCTGGTACTCACTTTCTGTTTCTTGGGGAGATTTGAGTGTTTCTCCAAAATCATACTAGTATTTGGAGAAATGGTGGATTTTTCAGAGTTTCTAGGCTTTGGGAAGGACATAGATGAGGTACCTGCATATGGAAAGAAAATTAAAATGATGGGAAACTGAAGTGGTTTAATATTACATAGAGCTATTCCTAGCCCACCTGCTAAATTGAGCTACTTAATGAACAAATAGGCCATAACATCCTTGGGGAAGAAGTAAGAGGATATTCATGGCTGAAACAAGGATAAAGCAATGCCTCATAACATCCTCTGAAAGCATACTGACAAACTGGTGAGAAAAAAGTTTAATCTCTCTGGTTGTATGTAAGTTGATGAAGCACAAGAAGCCAGGGAGGTGAGATATGTATGTGAACCAAATAGGATTGCCATGGTACTCTGCAGAATGAAGAAATGGCCATATTCCTCTCTGCAGTAGGACCTGTGAAGTAAGGACAATGCTGATACCCTGCAACTTTCGCTTTCCCTTTCTTAGAAAACTTATCACTCACAAGTATGGTGCAGAAAGCAATTCACCTGCAGACAGCATATGAGAGGCAGAGGTTTATGTATGCAACTCCAAAGGACAGCAAAGTCCTTATACTGAGAGAGTTTCACCTAAGCTAGAAGCTTGTCCTCTTAAACTACAGAGCTTGGTTAACAACCTGTAAGGAATGATGATGATTTTTTCTCCAGATCTTCTTGCATTTTAAGGTGTATTCTCTCCTGCTCCAAGGCTTCTATGTACTTGGAATAGGACCAGGAAGCCTGCAAGAACCATTAAAAACCATCAGCCTCCAGACCATGTTACTGGTAGTTCCTGGTCCATTTCAACACTGAGACAAAAAAACATGTTTATGTTATACGCCTGTTATTGAATAATCATAATTAAGAAGAGAAGTTTTGTCATGACAGTACTGGAATCATGGGGAAAATAGTATTGCTGCAAATAAGCAAATCTCAAAGCACCATGAAATGCAATTTAAACCATTTTGATAGATAGGATGTTTACATTAATTTATTCTCCGTCCCTGGTCTGAGTCTTATTCTCTCCTTTTGTCTTCAAAACCTAAATACAGAAGACTCTTCCCCTTCCAAAATTTCAGCCTATTGCACTATTGAGGACTTGATTTTATCTCCCTGCCACATTCTTACAGTATGTCCTTTCTCAAATCATTGAAGGTGTCATTAGCCTCAGAGTTCTTTCTGCCTGCCCTCTTCAGCAGCATGCTGCTACCACTAGAGGCAGATCAACTGGAGATGTCATCCCTTCCTTTACTAAGGAACAAATGTTGCTCTTTACATTGCAGCAATCACAGTTTGGGTTCCATGTAAATTTTAGGTCACTTTCCCAAATCATTACGGGAACTTTACTTTTATTTGGCCTGAGAACTTTGGGGAAAATTTGTCATATCATAACTCAGTAAGAAGAACTTCTGCCACCTTCACATAGCAGAAAGAGGCTTTGAGAAGAAACTGCTCTATAGAAGATTATTGCTCTTTCTGCAATTACCTGCCTCTTAAGGGCTAGCTCACAGGTGTGAGCAAAGGTTAAAAGGTCCATTTAAGGGATAAGAGTATGAGCTTAACTATGCAGCTTGCACTATGGTTCCATATTTTGAGGATATTTCAGACTGCCTGTTTCTATATTCTGCTCATCACTAATGTAATGGCACAAGAAGAGCTCTATGGAATGTAAGCAGTGGCTGGAGTGCGATTTACTCCTGCATCCCATGACACAGCTGGGATTATGTGGTTGCACAGATTTCCCATTATGTTATGGCAGTGTCAACTCAGCTATGAACAATCCCTTGATATTCCCAAGGTGACATGTCTGCTCTTCTTGTTTCTCCAATATGATTTTTACCTTTTCACTACAGATTTAATTCATCATGAGAGTTGTTCTGGAAGAAATATTACGCAGCTACTTTCTGCTGGATTTTCTATACAAATACCTAAATTTCCTAAATGAGTTCAGCTTCAGTTTTTGACATAAGAGTCAACAGGCTTAGACCAAACTCTTTCAAGACATCAATTTTCCAAGCAATGAAAAATTTCGTATTGTTTTAAAGAAATATTCTTTTAAAATCTACACACCTGAAGGGCTTAATTTGTTGTTAGATATTAATACTACTCAGAACCTAAATCTTAAATAAATAAATAAATTAAAAATCATTATTTGTAAGGTAGCTACACTTATAACAGCAACATTAATTGTAGAAGAATTAACAGTAATTGAAGAACCATGTGACAGTAGTATTCAAAACCAAACTCCACCTTGCCATTCTCCCAAGATCATGTTATCTCTCTTAAATTATCTTTATTATTTACCTGCCACCCATATCCATCTGAAAATGATGCTGGTCCTCTCTCCACACCAATCTCATCTCCCAAAACACTTCTTGACAGACTGATGAGTTTTTTCACCATTTCTTTACCCTGACAATAATAAGAACTCATAATCGGATGTAAAAAGTAGTTACTGAGATAAAGTAAAAAGCAAAGTCTGATGAAGAAAAATTGTCATTGGAAATGAGATAGTGTCATATACTTTAATGTTTTGTAATGCTCGGTTTCATAATTCACCACGTTGGGCATAATAAAAAAGAGCAGAAGATAGTGCATTTTAAAAGCATTCCTTTGTCCTAATTGAAGTTACCTGACCTCTACACTCCTACAGACTATCTTTCTTTCAGATCCAATACCTGCTCCAAAATACAGCTAAGTGAGAGGGCAGATCTGCAACAGAATGTATTTTAAGGACAGAGAGGCCATTGTCATCCTCTAATTTGGCCTTAGGTATAAATGTAGAATGTAGGATTTCTCATTATTAATTCCAGCTTAGTCCAGTAGCTGTGAATGAACTACTGTATATATGTTAGGAAAACAGGCAATATCTCATGTAAAACATTTATGATGAAAGACAAGGTGTTGTTATGCTTGGTAAACTGCTCTGGTGATTAACTATTTGTCATCTTCCTGTTGTTTTAGTGTTTTACCAAGGCTGCACATTTGCACATTCTGTCTGATGGTCCCAAAACTCTTTATGAACATTAATAATCCTTCATATCTAACCTCACATAATTAACCCCACAACATCCCCATTAGGCAAGTAATATAACCTTCCCATGTTGCCAGTGAGAAATTGTGAAAAAAGAGAAGTCAAATGGTTTCCCAAAGTCACTCAGAAAGCCCCTGAAAGATGTGAAAAGGATCAGAATATTCTACTTCCTTACTCCCAAGGTGCCTTTTCTTTCCTCATCATCCTTACTGTCCTATGGACCCATCATCTGTAAGGGTGACTTTTGAGTATAGAACTGCCCAGGTGGTGTGCTGTTTACTAACAGTCAGCTTACTAACTTCTGTGGCACACTTGATGGAACAGGGATGCCAAAGCAAATACAGAAATAGTGTGTATGCTAATATACTATAGTTTATGTTTGCTGGCTTTCTCAATGAGAATAGTGAATTAAATGAGGTCTTTAATAATGTCTTCTCATAATAAATTAGGCAATGTTATGGCAATGTCATATCCCATGACTTTACACTTACTAACAAATAAGCTTACTGGTGAGAAGCTTAAAGAGAGATGAGGGAAATATTGAAAAGCTAAATTAATGCTTATGATTTTACCTTTCTCTGCTAAGGGCATGGAAAGAGTAAGTAGAGATTTACAGTGTAATCAAAACTGTTTTGTACACTTGAAAGCAGAAAATCCAAAATCTGTTTTGGACATAAAATTGTGTATACAACAAATTACAAATAGTGTCATCAAGGCAGTCTGCAAAAAGTGACTAATTAGGTTTTTTAAAGTATGTGGCATGTGCTTCTAGCAGTTAGCAAAGGAACAGATTCACAGATGGGTCAAAGATGAGCCCATATATCTCTGCCACACTAAGTGTAAATATGTGAAAATGGAGAAGGAAACCATTTACTCCCAAGGCAATATCTTTTAAAACAACTATTTTAGCTCAATACTGATGCAGTCACATTATGCTGAATGTTTGAGCTTACTTCACCCTGTACCTACCCATCCCTGCCTTCCAGACAGTAAGCTTAAAAGAGATTTCTGCATGGTACAGTGTTTGCATGGCATCCCTCACTGTCAGCCACTCCTCCCCTGCAATGACTCTATTGCCAGGAAGCCTTCAATAGGATTTACCCCATGAAAAACAAATAGGCACACACAAAAAATATTGCTTTGGTCAAATAAAACCAAGTTATGCATCATTGTCCAGTGAAAACCTCCTTGTCTGCCCATTTTTTCCATTATACTACATAAAAGTCCAGCTCTTATCCAGTCAGTTCAGAAAGTGAGGTGAGCCCAGGTAGACCGGGCACTCCAGGGACAAATTTGTGAGAAGGGAGAAAGTAAAATTCCTCCCCCAAGACCATGATTGTTCTATTTGATATAAACACAAAATGGCAACTGATTTGTGGGAGGGGAAATAAAATATATATAAGAAAAAAAGACCTTTTCTAACATTGCCAGAGCTTTCCTCTCCTTCAACATTGAGCCTGGTGGGGCAGAGGAGCACAGACATTATTTTAAATGCCAAGAAATCATCACCTTCTACAAGCTGCCAAGTGAACCTGCTATCACTTATGTTAGATGAACCTTATCAGTATCCTTCAGGGATACTGAATCATTTGAATAGCTATGTCGTCACTGAGGGGACAGAAATCTCAGGCAAGAGAACAGGGAATGGCAAATTCTTTAAACAATAATAGAAGGGGGAAAGAGCTTCAAAGACTTATCTGTTCCACCTATTCTTTCAAGACATTTAAAAAGGTAACTGCTTTACTGACAATTTTTTTGTGAGAATAGTCTGCAGACTGTTCACTGAACTGCACTCTCTGCCTGTCGCATTCTAAAATTTCTTACCCTGTTTCCCAGCTTAGAGTGGTAATTCACCTTTCCCATTTGTTCCCCATAAAAGTTAGGCTTTTGCCCTCTTTTGCTCTTTACTTCCTTGATCTTAATCAGAAATCTTACAGACAGGCAACAAGCAGATGGAAAAAATAAGTCTGTGAAAACGCAAAAGTGCATTACTTTGAAATATTGCATTCTTGCACTCTAAGTATTGCCAATGGCCTTGCCAGACATATCTGTATGGAGGCAACGTGATTTGGAGAAAGGAACATGAGTTCTTGGATTTTAGACTTCACTTGACATTGGTGTGTGGCCTTGAGTTACGCTTCACTGGTGCTCCATTTTCATGTGTCTAAAAGAGGATAACAATATGTACATGCTCTTACGGGCATATATATCTTTATCTGTCCAGGTACTCATGTGGTTCTCATCACGAGGAACATCTCAACACATGTGTACATGGTATTTAAAATATGAAAGGTCTTTTAATGCTACTTATGATAGTTTGCAAGTCCAATAATTTCTCTGCCCTTAAAGGAATGTTCTCTCCTCAAAGCTGGCCAAACAATTACCTTTCATAAAAAATAAACTTTTGCAAAGCCTATAATCAATAGGAAAAAAAAATCCATTATATTTTAATAATAAATTCCAAGAAAAACAATTTTACAACCAAGCACTCCGCTTTAGAGGTCAAAGTTCTGTTAATGCACTGAAACTGTCTGGAAACTCATTGTGAACAGCCTAATAGTTCCACTGTCAAAGCTGAGAAATATTCAAGAAAAGACAAAGACTATATAAAACAATTAGCGCATAAATATTTTTTAAAATAATGTGCAGACTTTTCAAATGCTCCTTCTGAAAAAATAGATATGAAATGTGGTTTGGTTCGGTTTTGTTTTCAATAGTGACCCAAGACTGTAAATTCTAAAATAGGACAGTACATCCTGAAAGTGCAAACAGGTCTGCAGTTACCCCTTGTACATATGGACCATACACAGAATTTTTTTTTTTTAAATTCAGCCCTCTTTTTCACTCTTCTCTTGGCACAAAAGATGGCTAAAATACATTTTCCCCTCTGCTTAATGAAAGGAGTATTCAAGTGACTCATCTGCTTCAAGTTAAACGTACGTATACGCATGACAGGATTGAGAACTAATCGCCCTAGGACTGGGTCGCGTGTAAAGCTTGAATTCTAACAAAAAGATTTTGGTAGCTTTGGATCAGGCCGAGAAAGGGATATTTGAATTCACGTATGTTTGCTTATGAAGGAGTTTTTATGGAGTTTGTCAGCTGTCATCTGAAAATTTGTAAGCCTTACCTCTGTTCTTTTGCCTTCCTTCTTTCGCATCTTTTTTCCCTTTTTCCTCTCCAAAGCAAGTAGAATTTTGTCACTAGCCAAATTGCTTCGAAACTTACAAAATTTTGGCCAAAATTTAAACAGAAGAGCAAAAATAGTCATCTGTGCAGAAAGAAAAGAGTCAGTCTTGGCCATGTTAAGAAAACAGAGTTTACTGTAAAATAAAATGCAGTTTACCATGAGAATGAAATAACTATTTCTTTCTGAATACACAGCCTTGTTCCTCCCACGTACTGTGTCCTGACTTTTCAGCCCAGCTTTGCTCGGCACATGCTTTTCATCAGTGTGTTTATTACTGGTGAGAAATCTTCCTAAAACACAGTTAAAAGGCACTTTCTTTTTTTATATTTCCCTAAACAATTGTTTGCATTAATGAAAACATCCATCATTTTTTACAAGTATTCCTGATAAAATATACACCAGTAGAATTGCTTTTGCACCACTGTTCTGCTCAAGTATTTCAAGTATTCAGTTCATTAGGGAGAGGGGGTTTCTTCCCTCCTTAAGAGAAAGGAAATACTTTTTTGCCTCTGGAAAGGCTCTTAAACCACATTACAGATCTATGAGCAAATCTTGGATAATTTTTAAATGATATAATCTCTCACAGGGTCTTTTTTGAACTAGAATAAGAAAAACAATTTTAGAAAAGCAAACAGAGGGGCTCAGTGAATTCTGTTGCTGCACGTACTAAGGCTCACATTTTTCATTTATTTAGACATTGAATTCTCATTGAGAAACCTGGCTTCAAAGGAGGCGAGCGTGCTCAGCACCTCACTGGTTCTTGCTCAACAGACTTGAAAGTGACATGTGAGTCACTGTCATGTTCCAGTTATAGCTTTTTGGCCAAGTTCTTCCCTTGGTTTTGTGTCACATTTCTGGAGTTCATTGGGTTTTACATGGGCTGAAATGAGACTTCTTATTTCTCTTAGGATCTATATGAACACTTTTCTCTGACAAACCATTAATCTTTTGTGATTGAAACACTTCATGGATTCACAGTTGATGTTTAAAGGTGTTGGTGGTAATTTTCTAGGAAGAGGAACTACTTTTGTTGGGTTTAGAAGATATGTCAGAGAAGACAGTACCAAGGAATAAGAAAATAGTAAGTCTGTAGTAAAGGTTCACAGAGTGCTGTTCAGTCTGATAACTACAAAGATCAGAGAGAAAATTATCTACAGCCATTTAACACAGACTTTCTGTAATAAAGAAGGGAAAGACATTCAGTAAGTTGGGCTGTGCTTCACTCACATCTGCATTTTTTTCATAAACTACAAAATCTACAAACTTTCTAACTACAAATTACTTCTCTGACATTAGCCAAGTGGTAAAGAACAAACAATTGAAAACATAGACAGAATTCATTTCTACTGCCAGAATTGCTAACACAGATCTGGATAACACCTTTCCAGGATCAGCTAGCTGTCAGAGAGTGTCCAGTTTATTGAGCAGTAAATATCTGAAGCCTCTCTGTCATCCCCACCATACAATCTTAATTGAAATGCATGAATATAGTGTCCTCCTTCATACCCAAGTGTATGTATGGAGTCCAAATTGTTACATAAGCAACAAAAACTGTCCTTAAAATCAAGCACACAGACTCTAGCCAGATCTGTTAGAGAAATTCTTCCAGCTTCTTACCTGTGCTTCTCTAAAAATGTAAGGTCCTAGTTCTTTCCTGTGCTCCAGAATCTTCTTTGCTTGTTCAGCTGGGATGTCAATCTGCAAAGCTGGCGGTACGGCAGAATTAATAAAGCAGTCAATAATAGCTGTGATCTTTCTCTGGACTGTGGCATCATCACAATGAGAATGGCACAAGTCCTGAAAGAAGAAAAATAGCATTTTCAGTCGATGGAGAGAGAGACGAAAGATCCTTTACAGAGGCCCAGTGATCAAAGAGTAATAGTCATACAAAAATAATTATACAATAGATTTCTTCAGCATGTAGGACAAAATTCTTATAGCAAATATGCATGGTGAAAGACATAGTTAAGACATGAGTGGGACTTCTGGTTTACAAATGCAGATATATAGCAATTGTTGCTTTTAGGTGATAATCTCTGCCTGCTCATTCTGAAGGAAAAGGATAGTTTTTATCCTGCATTCAGTCTAAGTACATTACTGGCAAATAGGAGGCATTTCTGAAAAGAAAAACACACCTACAAGTGTAAAATGCACTTATTTTCTCTATGTGCCTGCTATGACTAGCATAACACTGGCAACTAAAAGACCGAGAAATACTCTAGATACTCCTAGAAAATAAGGGAATTATTTAGAGGGTACAAGGACGCATAACCAGGAATGCTGGCACAAGAGGGAACAATTTCAGCTATCAGTAAAATATTGCATTCATTGAAATCTTCTAGTTTCCCCGTTCATTAAGATTTTCTAGTTTCCCAAAACCTCAGTGTTTGAAATAACACTGTGCAGAACAGAATACAAAACAAACCTAAACTTACAAGGGTGAGATCTCAAAGAAACTCTGGGGTTTTCTACTTTTTTTAATGTGATCCTATTGTTCTTGTAAAACCTGTTATTACTGTATTTTCACACTCTGACGACTGTACCATTGGACTTTGACAGGAAGGAAAAATAATTCGAAGGGCTTCCTTCAAACATTTTGAAACATGAACTTTCCGTCTATCTGTAAGCATTCAGAAATTTCTATAGCAGTAGGAGATTATCGCATATATGTACTAAAGACACAATGAGCACTTCAGAGTGTTTTCAGGAAGAGAGGTCTCTAAATGAAGAGTGTGCATTTAGTTTTGGTATAGGAGGCTGGATATTTACTTTGCAAAGAAATTAAAAACAGGGCTTTGAACCAGAAATGTGGTATGTGAAAGAACTGGCTTGTTTTATTTTGAATACTTTTTAGTTTTGTGAAGGAAAAAAAGAATGATAAGAGCTACAATGAAGAAAGTGAGGCAATACAAAAACATATTCTATATATCCTAAGAATATATTGTGGCTTCCTTTGCTCAACCAGCATAGAAGAAATGTCAGAGTGCTGTAGTAAGAGGGAAGACAAACAAGCCATATGATATCAAAAGGGATGAGACATGAGCATAGATGAACAGATGGAAATGATCCACAGAGTCATATTTCTTCGTATTTGTTTAAAAAAATAATAATTGTTTTTTGATTTTCCCAAGATGTGCCGCCAGCGAGGAGCAATGCAGCCATTGACTCCGAAAGGGAGTTCTGTCTAAACTGATGGCATGGTAGGGCTCAGACAATACAAGTATGCACTGTGCAAAGTGCTGCCCACGTCTTTGGCAATATTCCTCCAGTTCAGCCTGACCCACAACACTCCTACTACTCCAGCCCTTTGCTTCTATAAAGAGCATCAACTGCCAACCATGACAAATTGCATGGATGTAGAAATATGGTCAGATTGTACTTTTTCTTGATAAGAAGACAAATAAAATTAACATAAATGAAGGAGAGGAGGTGGGACATAAAACAATTAAGATGCTTCAGAGAGCAGATCCACAAAGCAAAGAGTCTCAACTACACTCCACATTAATCTGCAGAAAGTTTTCCATGTCCTCCACAACGTAGCAATGAAGAGTCAGAAATCTGAAAAAACATCAAATATTTTGAGAGATTTATGTCATGGAACTTCAGGTGCCTTCATGTCAAGTTTCTAGTCCAAGCTAGTCACTCTGTAATGAAGAGATAGACAACAGCAGCCCCAGAGAGCATTTCAGCTGATGACTCTTTGCTTGAGCATCAGAGCCGTTGTGAGGAAGGGAGGTTGCCTCCTGGAAACAGAGGAGCTTCAGCTTCTAAAGCAGATCTCAAACTCAAATGCATAAAATTAAACAATGAAAATACACCACATGCCTGCAACAGGATCTCTAAGTGCTGCTGCAGCATCAACTGTGTTTATCTCCTAATTCCTGAGCATGTTAGCCAACCTCGTGCCTGCCATGTGCACAGAAGCTATGTTCAGGAGCCCAGGGGATGCTCTGCACTCTGATAGCAATATTGCAGCAGCGATATCCCAGAGGCAATAGGAATGAGGAACAAGTGAAAGACTCGTGGTGCCCTCCATTCAGTCCAGAGCACTCCTAGGAGGCTGCAGTGTGAGGTAAAGGTTGGCTCCAGCGTTTTCCCATTGTGTTTCACCCCACACAGTAGCAATTTCACAGAGGCCTGTACCTGGGAGAGAGACAATCCCTGATGACCTTCCCCACCACATTTCACCTTGGCCACATCATCAGCTGCAGTCAAATGCAACTGTATGAAGTGCAGGGGGGCTGGGGTCTGCATTGTATATATAAGTATTTTGGGTAGATACTATCTTTACATCTGTACATTTGATTGAATTTTGAAGTTTTCTCTGATTTTTGAAGGATTACCAAATTCAGCAATAATCCCATGATTTAACAGTATGTAACTATAAAGAAAGAATTAACATTTTAATGCTTGCATATTTTTACAGATGTATACCAAAATCTGGCCATTAGCCAGCTTGTAGTATCTCTTTAGAGTCTGAGAATAATGTTAATAGTTTGAAGAAGCATAAAGAAATACAGAGCTAATACAGTCAAGTCATTAAAATAGTTACCCTTAAGAAGTGAGGATTTCCATCAAAGAAAAAACAGTTAAACAAAGAAAGAGGTTTTACTATGAAAAAGAAAATGCCTAGAGATATTCTTATTAAAATTCTCCTAAGATGCATTAATGGATGCATTTGCTCCATTTTACCACCGTACCTTATACTTCTGTACCTCTTGCCAAAAAAGCACTCCGTTCCCCAGTAGGTCTCCTTTCAGTGACACAAAGCATTGAAACTGATTTGCTGTCACCGGATTCAACAGTGCTTTGCGAAAAGCAATTATTTCACTGGATGAAGAAACCCACTTACTGTCCACATGCTGTCAGAAGAAGAAATAAATGCACCAAATAAACTTTGTTTCAAAAAGCAATAACAAAGACATTAGTTAGCATAAACTGTCTGATTCTTATCTTTGCACTGACCCTAGCTTTCAGTAGTTTATGAGTTTATGACATGGATACAATAGAATGTGGCAAAGTTTCATTTCTTTCTTTCCATCTTTTTTCTTTTTTTTTTTTTTAATTTCAGTTTGGTTTGGGCAACATTTTTGGAAGACATGATGGGAGAGGAAATGACTGACAGTGATTTAGACCATCTGACTACATACTATAAAGTATGGAAACAGCTATTGTTATTGATTATGGCAACAGGCTACTTTTCTAGAGAACAGTTTGAGTTTTGTGCAAACAAACAACAAAGAAAAAGGAACAGAAAAACCACATAGCTTAAAGTTGTAAAATGCTTCTGACAGGGATCTCACCAACAAAATGAGCTTTGAAATGTGTTGCCAAGATCACCAACAGAAGCCGGAGAGCTTGCTTTCTGTGGAATAAGGCTACCAATAGTAAAATAGAATTTAAAGTCATTGAGACATTTTGGAAATCCTCACACTGCAAAGCACAGAGCAGTAGGCAGCCAGGAAAGGGTGGAGAAAGAAAGATGGCTTATGCAGGGATAGTTTGTTTGAAATGAAGTTCAGTCTGGCCTGCCTTCCTGAACAAACAGTTCTTGTGCTGCCACTGAGGAGCAAGCCAAACAACCCTCCTTTGTTATCAGATGGGTGAATGAAAACTGTCTTCTAACAGTGCTTGAATTCCTGGAGGGATGGAGTGCTGTTCAACGGTCAGCATGGGACAGAAACCTTTTTAGTTCCTGCAGACAGTCCTGGAAATCTGACCTGATTCTAAGTGGAAAGTCTTTCTGCAGCTTCTCTTAAAAACAGGGGTTACGCTTAGTGTCCTGCCACAGAGCCTGCCAGGGATGAGAGCCTGCCCTTGCAAGAGGGTGGGTTGGTGGTTGTGCAAAGGGTCCCTGGGTTAAAATTAAGTTGGCTCAACTTAGACAGTAGGGTGGCATCTTCTCAGCCCTCCTCCAATTCTCCAGACATGTTCTATCCCCTGTCGTCAGGATTTAGGCAACTTCTGGGAAAAATTCTTTCTGGGGCATATTCATGAAGGGAAGAACAAAATGTTGCTCCCACCCCTATACTAATATACGGGTACTGCTTATTTTATGGGTCAACAACCTTGAAGCAGAACATGGAAAATAACCGTCCTCCTGACAAACAAAGGGAAAACTCAGTTAACAGAACCCACATGCACTTTGGATCCTTTTCGATGCTAATGGTTTGCATGGACAATTGGTGACCGGGTCTCCAGTTTGATTTCAACAGACAATAAAAGTTCAACTGAATAATGTACACAACTTGTATGTTGGCAATCACAAAGAGTTCACTGCTCTTCAAGAGGAAAAAAACTGGCAAACATCTGATGAAGTGTATTATTACAAAGGTTTAAGATGTTTAAAATTGATATTATCTCAATGCTGTAAGATTAAAATACAATTCTAAATGAAACAGATACTGTGAGATATGATTAAACCTGCCCACTCCACTGCATACTTCACATTCTCTTTTGTGTCTGCACGTAATCCACTCACAATAATAAATAAACTACCAGATGCTGGAATGAACAGCTTGCCCCAATAAGTCCACTGCATGCAAAATACAGATAAATGTGAATTAAAGGTACAAAACCAGTTTGAGGAGGGTTAAGAGTGCTCCAAAGCCCAGGACAAGAAACATATTTTTTCAAGTATGACCTCTCCAGCCAGGAAGGGAGAGAAATTTACCGTGAACATCCAGCAGGGAGCTAAATTCACCAGTAATGTGAGCAATCCATCCACTGTAGCCAATACAATCATGCCTGATTTTGATAGCATTACATTTGGGCTTCACACTGTCAG